AGAGAATCTGGCCTTTGGAGGACGGACGACTTGTGTTAAAATCTTGGCTCGGTCATTTCCCAGCTGTGTGATCCTGGGCAAATTCTTTAATTTATCTGAGTTAGTTTTCCCACTGCACAACGAGTAGAACTATATCCCACTGGTGCTCTAAAGCTCAGTGGGAGGGGTTCTAGTTAGTGTCAGGAGGAGACCACAAAAGTTCCCAGAAATCCCCAGAGGCTTTCTGACTTCCTGGCAGAAGAGGCTGATCCTGCCCAACCAGTTGCACTTGCCCACCGTGGGCAGACGAGGAAGTGCAGAGGTGGCTCTTGGCACTACACCTGGCAAATCATCTGTGCCACTCAGCCTGGTCACCAAGGGCCATGTGTCTCCCACCGAGAAAGTCCAGCAGGCAGGGAGAGGGAAGGGGCTGTGGTCTCCTTCCGGCTTGGTCAGGAAACTTGGGTAGAGACCTGGGTCACAGAACCTGAAGTGGCAGAGACTCATATACAGAGGCTGGCATCTGGAGGGTGTTTGGGGACACTTAGGGCCAGTTCAGCTGTAGAAAAGAGGACCTATTATTTAATGACTCCCCCTAGATTTGGGTCCAGGATGTCTGGCTACCCTGACAGATACCTCAGTAGACAGGCTCCCTCTTATTACTGTAGTGGACGGGGTAAACAAACAAGCCTTTTACAGGAGAACACATAGCAGGATCAAGGTTTGGAGGGGAGGAAGTGCTTAGGTCACACCACAGGTGTAGGCAGCCTGCCCAGCCTCTCAGGTTGTGTCCCTTGGGCCAAGCAATCCTGGAGGGTAGATTGAGGGATGTAGCTGCTATGGAAGGGAAAAAAAGACACTGGTAGTGGTGCCTCCCAGACAATTGGACAGGTCACTGTGTCTGGGGTACACAGTTCTACAAGGGCCACAGGGATAGATGAATCTTAAGAGCATTTTTCTAAGGAAAGGCCTCCCAGATATATGAAGGAGCCTAACCTTTAAGAGGTTAAAAGTGGCTGGATGGCCCTAGTGAGTGCCCTGCTTCTTTCCAGAGAGATGCTCACGGGCATCATGGTTGTACTCATCAGAAAGGGACTGAATGAGCATAGTCTCTCAGGGGCTCCAAAATTAGCTGCTGCAATAACATTGTGATATTTCTGATCTCAGGCCCTAAAGACTCTGCTTAGGCAGAGTAGTTTCCTCTACTCCACTCCCTGAAGGCCATGTCTTCCTTCCTCTCCCATGAGCTTTTTTCAAACAACTCATAGCTTTATGTTTTTCTTATATTCCCCCCGCCCCCCCCCACCATTTTTGCAATACTAGGAACTGAACCTGCAGTCTCATGCTTGCTAGAAAAGTTACAACTTTGTCTTCAAATTATTTTGGGTGTAGACTTCAAGCCAGAAGGAAAAAGGAATCTCTCACTTAGGTTTGAGGTTTTTCTATATGTTTCAGAATTCTTAATTGCAAACTAGGGGTGATTCATAATATCTTCCCCAGGGACTACTGTAAGGACAGAAAAAGCTCAACCTTAGGAAAGTGTGAAATACTTAGAATAGTGTCTGCTGTTATCAAAGGATCCTAAACTTGCAGGTAGGATTTCTTTTTGGCCTGCTGGGAAAGTGGGGGGGGGGGGAGAGTGGGGTAAGGGTGAACACCCTGAGTCTTCCATTTAAGGATAGGCAGGGCACATTGAGAGGCCCCTAGACCTAACCAGCAAGGACTGGAGCTTTGTGGAGGGTTGTCTGATCCAGCTGTAAAGCATTGTTGGGGACTGGGGAATCCCTCAAGATCAGGCTTTTGGAGGAGGACAGGGCTTGGGCCTGACAGTCAAATGCCCTGGCCATTTGAATCAGAACCACCGGTAATATTATAACTGTGGAGGGAAAGGCACTGCAGACACCTGAAACCCTTTTAAGGGTTTAATGTAAATAAAAGGAGGAATGGATATCAGCTTTGTAACAAAGCTAAATCAAGACAGCAATGGTGAAGGAAGACACTTTATCACCTCTGCTAGGGTGGGGAAGAAAGCCACCCCGCTTTCATGTATTTGTGTGCTGGAGAATTGCTCTTGGGTGGGAAAGGCAAGCAAGAATCAGTTTAGGGGAGTGCTCAAGGCCTCCTGCCTGTCCTAGGTCCTCTGCAGGGCCAGTGGTGGGTGTGGGGATGTAGGTCTCCGGCCAGATATCCAGATATCGGCAGAACCAGGTCAGGAAGCTTCCAGGCTCAGGCCCATGGAAGTGGGGCAGGTCTGGCTACATCAGGGGATTTGAGGAGCAGCAGCTATTGGGGGCCAGAAAGCATCCAACTTCTTGTCTCAATGTCCCTGGGCCTTTGCTCCCCGAGGTGCAAGGAAAGGGTGCCTGTTTGACTCGGAGTTCAGAAGACACAGGTGCAGTCTGTCTGAAGGGAAAGTCGTTCTATGATGCATGTACACTGAGGCTGCACAAGCCACCAACGCCCTGTCCATCCCACTCTGCTGCTTCACAAGGTGGCCCTTCATAAGTGTGTGGCCCGCTATGATCTTCCTGCCCCTGGAAGCCTGACCTCCTGCAGTCTGAGAAGCAGTGGATTTTGTTCCACAAGAGATGCCTGCCTTGGTTGCACTGCATCCACAGAGAGGCTTGGGCCGCTGCCTGGAAAAAAATGGGGACCAATCATCAGGACCACTCCTTCTGTACTTGGTCATGCAGGACCTTCAGAGGGACCTTCAGGGGCCTGCACCAGAGCCTGGAAAGTACCAAGGACACAACAATATCCATGCAGTGAAGGAAGCTCCCTTTGTTCTTACCAAAGAAAAGCAAAACCATGTTTTTCCTGATCAAATTTTTGCTGACAGCCAAGCAACCTTGCCATCTCCCAGCCCCTGGCTCAGGTCTTGTTGTCCCTTCCCTGTGGGGACCATGTACTTGCAGCAGGGTGGACCTGCTGCAGGCCGGGGAGGTGACCACTGGGGCCCTGACCATTGATGCAGATCCAGCACCAGCCGCTGCTCTCCAGAGCCGGGTTCTCTTTGGAATCCAAGCTGTTTCAGAGGATCAGCACTATGGCAGCCAGGCTGAGCTTCCGATTCCATTTTAAATGACCCGTGCATCTTATCTCCACATTGCCTCCTGGGGGTTCGCACCCACCCCCAGCCCGCCTAGCCCAGGGCGGAAGCCGGCCTGCGCTTTTGAAGTCCAGAGAATTTCAATCTGAGAGGAGCCGACTGGACCTGAGCCTGTCGCCCCAGCAGGGGAAGAGACAGTCTGCAGGCCTTCAAGGCAGGGGGCAATTGAGAAGCGCCAAGGGCTGGCTGGATCTCACAGAGGCAGTTGTCACCCTCTGGGCAGTTGTAGGGATGCCCTGGCTTTGCCCACTCTTTGAATTTACCTTCCCTCTCATGTTGTGCTGTGAATAGCCTTCATGATACATGATAATGTCACTATTAAAATACTCCCCTATACACATACCAAAACCAAAACCAAACTAAACAAAAAAGCAAACAAACCCACACCAAATGGTGTTCTCCAATTCTCTCTTTTCATTGTCTTCTCATTAAAAGCCAGACTTCTTTTCATCTGACATTGATAAAAGGATGCTTTTAGAAGTGACATTTAGTTAAATTTCTTTTCTTTTTTCCCCCCATACACCTGGGAGTTCAGTGGCTCCTGAAGACTGAAGACATGTAGGCTCTTTTGAAAGGGTGGGCAGAAGTCTGCAGAAGCTTGGGGTGGCGTCTGGCTGGGGGAGCTATCCCCAAAGCTCCTGCTTTGGAGCCTGGAGGAAGCAGCCCCTCTCCAAGAGGCTGAGCCCCATTTTGACCCCTCTGAGGGATGCAGCCCTGATCCATCAAACCTACGCAGGAAGGACTCTAAATGGCATCCCGTAGTCATCTCCCAATCTGACTGACTTTCATCTCCAGGGAAAACCCAGGGGAAAAGAGAATCAAACAGAACATTCCCACTGAATGCTAAACTGGGGGTGAGGCAGAGGAGTCCGTGTGTCTCTCAGGACCAGGGTCAGGAAGTGGGTGCAGGGAGGTGGCTATGACAAGGTGGCCTGTTCACAGAGGGCAGCGAGAGCAGGTGCCACCCAGGTCCAGTGCTCCCACTGGGCAAACAAGGCAGCGCTGAGACAGACACTCGGGAGTTTCACAGGACTTTGACAGAAGAGTGAGCCAGGACTCCCTCAGACCCCAACTGCTTGTAAGGAAAGACAGGGTATGACGGAATCTAAGGACAGCTTTTCATGGTAGTAAAAGATCCTGGAACTTGATCCCGCACTTTTGCTCCTCTCTGAACGCTTGTTTCTAATCTCTGAAATGTTCCCCCAGTTTTCTAGGCTAGCAGTGCTCAGCAGATGGTGACTTTGGGATCCGCAAAGAAGGGACATTACCCTCCAGACCCATCTGCCTCTGTTGCCCTAAGAAGGCTAATGAATATCTTATTGAACAGGGGAGAAGTGGACAGCAGAAGTAACGGGACAATCTTTGTCCTGCTTTGGACTTCTTGCTGCTGCCACCTCTTCCATAACCCCAAGGATAGGAAGACTGGGGGAGGGGTGGGGAGAGATTAGAGAAAAGGAAATGAAAAACAGTGGAAAGAAAAGAAGATAAAAGACAAAAAGGTCATGCTAGAATGGTTTTTCTTTAGAAGCTGAAGCTTTGCCTAAGAACCACCCACATGCAAGGATCACCCTTAGCTGGTTGCAAGGAACTAGAAGCTCTTGGGGAGGCGACATAGCAAGAGTAAGCCAAGAAGGTGCCCACCTCCTGCCCTCCTCAAACTGACAAAAGAGCCAGCCCACCTGCCAGGCCCTCACACATGCTTAGCATCCGTAAGGGGCCATTGTAAAAGGATTGGCTGCTGCCTTCTGAGAGTCTGTAGCCCCTCCTAAACATCAAGCTCCACCACCCTGCCCCTACCTCCTCCCACCTTGAGCTGGGAGTTGGTCTTGCGTTCCCCACAGACTTAACAGAGCACCTGGGCACTTGCTCTCTCCAGGGCATTTTCAGCAATTTCTTTCTCTTTTATCCCCAGTTTGAAGCCAAGGATTGTGGCCCCCGAGAAGGGCCTGGAGGAGGACTCCGTGACTCCCACCTCTGCTGACCCCATTCACTCCACGAGCTCAATTCCTGCCCTAAATCCTGGAGGGAAAGCGAGCGTCGTCTCCTAGCTGGGGGCCTCAAGCGCTGCTGCAACCTGGGCTGCCTTTGCCAGCGCCTCTTCACTGGATAAACCTGTTCCCGGAGAATTCGTTGACTCTGAATGAGTATCTTAAAATGCAGGCAAGAAAAGAAAGGAGACCACTTTCAGAACCTCTCCCCGCCCAACATACCTGAAGTGCCAGCAAGGCCCGATCAAACGGAAAGCGATTTCTTCTATGAAAAGCCGCCTCCTGGTCAAGACAGCTGTGGAAAACTTAAGGCCATCTACATGAGGAGGGGGAATTTAAAACAAAACAAAACAAAATAATACAAAACAAAACAAAATCATTGAACACTTTGAGTCAGCAAGTAACAGGGGTCTTCTAAAGAAAAATTAAGATATTTATCTTTTGCCCCCTTGGGGAAGAAAAATAGCCAAGGTTGGTTCCTAGGAGGAAAGAGACAGATGGGGTGAGGAAAAGAAAAGAGGGGGCAACGTCTACCCCAGGCTCAAGGTCTCCAGACAACTCGTGGCGGTGGGTACGTTTTTCAGTAGCTTGTAAAAAAAAGTCTTTGGAGTCAGTTTGAGGTTAGCTGACAGGAACAGGCAGTTGTAATAATGTGGAGAGAATCACGGCTTGTAAGCCGGCCTTCACACCTCCGAAATGCAGTTGTATATTCTTTCATCAGGGTTGGATCGAGGCACCAAGTTAAGAAAACAAAAGTCAAAGCAACCATAAAAGAAAAATCAAACGCGTTTTCAATGACCGAGCCCCGCTGGCCCTGCGGAACTCCTGCGCTCCTTAAGCTCTCTCTTTTCTTTCTGCGGAATTCCATTTGCATCCCCTCTGACTGGGTGTCTCCCTCTCAGTGTGTGTGTCTCTCTGTTTTCACACTCTCCTCCCCATTCGAGCGAGGCCCACACCTGGCGCATCACTGCCGAGCCATTAGCTGCGGGTCTCCTTTCATCTCACTGTGGCAGACGTTTCTATTTATCCACTTGCGCTCGCCGAGTGGCGTCACCGGCGGTACTGTAATGACGATTGCAGCAGGAGGATGACAGCTTAGAAAGAAGAGGGCAATGGGGCTTCCTCCCAGAGGCGGTGCGGCACAGAGGAGCGCTCGCACCGCAAGGTGACCCCGGCTCCCCACCGCCACCCCGCCGTCTCCGTGGACACCGCGCGCCGGCCGCTCGGCTCCCGCCCTGTCGCCCGGCCTCTCTCGCTCCCTTTTGCAGCCAAGATCTGTCCGACCGACCGCTGGGGTCCCAGGGAGCCGGGGGTCACTTGGGGCTCCCCCCTCCCGCCCGCGGAGCGCCCCGGGATGGAGAGCCGCAAGGACGTGGTTATGTTCCTGGATGGGGGTCAGCTTGGCACTCTGGTTGGCAAGAGGGTCTCCAATCTGTCCGAAGCCGTGGGCAGCCCGCTGCCTGAGCCGCCCGAGAAGATGGTGCCCCACGGCTGCCTGAGCCCGCGAGGCGGCCCTCCGGCTGCCCGGGAGCGCGGCGGGGGAGGCTCGGAGGAGGAGCCGCTCGATGGACTGCCAGGCGGCGCCGCGGGGCTGGGCGCCGAGCCGCGGGCAGCCGGCGCGGCCATGCTTGGCCCGGGACCCCCAGGCCCTCCTGCCGACGGCCTCTCTGGCCAGGGGCAACCCAGTAGCTCAGACACCGAGTCGGATTTCTATGAAGAAATCGAGGTGAGCTGCACCCCGGACTGCGCCACCGGGAACGCCGAGTACCAGCACAGCAAAGGTAGCCACCGCGCCCCTCCGCTCCCCTGGCCTCCCACTGCGCCCACCCCTCACTTCAGTTCAGGCCAGAGGAAGATATTCCTTCCCGCAGAGCGGAGTGGCTGAGGGGACCCACCCGCAACTCTTCCCCGCTACCCGGGCCCTGGCGGGGTCTCCTACTGTGTTGTGGCTTTGGTGGGACTGAGGCGGACAGCTGTGCCTGGGGAGGGGCAGAGCACATCCTGGGCTTGGGGGATTCCAAACGCACCCCAACCCCCTGTGCTTTGTGGTAATGCTTCAACTGAGCCGCGAAGACACCTTCCCCCGGGCAGAGCTAGATCAAACGCGAGCCCGGGCAGTTTGTGGCTGGCGGGGTGTAAGGCGCATCTAGGCGCGGAAGCCAGGAGTCCATAAAGGACCGTAAAATCGAGGCGGACTCTGGCGGTCCTGGTGCTGCAGCCCTCCGACGAGTTTGCACGTCGGTCAGAGGTCCAAATTACCTTGTCACTTCCCGGGCTTGGCGGCGCCAGGTCGGAAATGGTCCCAATGGTCTAATTGCCGTTGGTCTCCGGTTGCATTTGAAAAGGCAGAGTTTGGGCCCTCCCCCCCCCTTCCCTTTCCTTCCAAGTCCCATTTCTCCACCCAAAGGAAAAAGAGCTGCAGGGGGTTAGAGCCCCACCTTTCCCTTGGGTATGCCCCGAGGGGGGCTGCTTTAACTGGAAACCTCCCCACCAAAGGCTAATGGAAGTTGGGGGTGGAGGGCCCTGGAAAAGAGTCTCTCTGTGTGCCAACAATCACTCCATCAGAGAGGGGTGAAACACTGGGAGGGCGAGCTCACCGGTAGACACTCCTCCACAAAGCCGTGGGAATGGGTAGGAAGAGCCAGGGAGGGAAGAAAGGCCACCTCTTAGCCTTGGCAGGCAGGCAACACCTTGTTGAGTACCCACCCCCACCCCATACCATTTTATCCGCTCAACCCAGACTCCTAACCTCAACACGTTTTCAGAACAACCTGTCCTCCACTCAGATATATCATCCCTGCAATACACAACCTGCACTCCCACACCTGTGCCGGTGTCCTGGTGCACATTCCTACCCAGCATCCTACTATGCGCTGAATCTCAGAGTGCAAGATGTTCCAGCACAAAGATGCGACTTCACTCACTTGCCTGCCAAATATGTACTCTGTGGTCCGCTCCTGTCAATGGTGGGCAGAAAGCTAGAAAAGCACGCACTTTGCCTGTGGCTAAGGACGAGCCGAGCCGGGTAGGTTCCCTGGGACCCCCTGTACTTGGCATGCTTTAGATTCTGGCCTTTCCAACAGCAGCCAGACCAGGCCTCTTTCTAAAACATCTAAGTTCCCTGATTCTTTTCCTGGAGTCCCCAGAGCCCCAGCAGAGTCAGCAACCAAAATCCTGATCATGTCACTTTTCACCCCCCATCATCAGGCTGTGGGCCTAGAGTCCTCCTGCAGCATTTGTGTCTGTTGTATGTGCATGTGTGTGTGCACATGTGTATACTCTGGGCTTGTTGCACAGGGCCCAGCTCCGAGGCACTGGCCAGCAGTCCAAACAGCAGCAGCGAGACCCCTAAGAGCAACGGTGGCAGCAGTGGCAGCGGGGGAGGCTCACAAGGCACGTTGGCCTGCAGTGCCAGTGACCAGATGCGTCGTTACCGCACCGCATTCACCAGGGAGCAGATTGCACGGCTGGAGAAGGAATTCTACCGGGAGAACTACGTATCCAGGCCACGGAGATGTGAGCTGGCGGCAGCCCTAAATCTGCCAGAAACCACCATCAAGGTAGGCACGACCCAGATATGTGAGGAGGGTGTGCACCCACTTAGCAGGAAGTAAAGACCAACTGCCCACTCTTTAAATCATGGGCCTGGAATCTGGGCCAGAGAGCGCAGATTTAAGATTTACTCTTCTGACAGTCTGAAGGCAGCCACAGTTGCCAAGAGGTTGAGCCTTTTTATTGTAGCCAAATAGAAAACAGGGATGAATGTCCCAAAAGAGAAATATGGGAGGACCCGCTGAGGAAATGCTGTCTGTGGCTTTGACTCAGGGAATCCCAGTCCCTCCACTACTTGCACGCCTACAGCGGGTGGTGGCACCGTGGGGGTCCTGCCACGTGTGCTGAGGAATGAAGGAAGGTCCTAGAGTCCCTCCTTGAGCCTTCCACGGAGGGATCCCTGCAGCAGCTGGTGGTGGTGGGCCTGACCTCAGCAGTTTGTGTCTCCTTTGGCTCCCCTCTGGGATGTGGGCTCTGTCCTCTGGAGCTGCAGGATTTCTGAGCGCCGACACTGGGCCTAGACCAGCGGCCCAATTTGCTCCACTCCTCTCCCAGGTGTGGTTCCAGAACCGGCGCATGAAGGACAAGAGGCAGCGGCTGGCCATGACGTGGCCGCACCCGGCTGACCCCGCCTTCTACACGTACATGATGAGCCATGCGGCGGCCGCGGGCAGCCTGCCCTACCCCTTCCCGTCGCACCTGCCCCTGCCCTACTACTCGCCCGTGGGCCTGGGCGCAGCCTCCGCCGCCTCGGCCGCCGCCTCGCCCTTCAGCAGCCCGCTGCGGCCGCTCGACACGTTCCGGGTGCTCTCGCAGCCCTACCCGCGGCCCGAACTGCTGTGCGCCTTCCGCCACCCGCCGCTGTACCCGGCCGGCCCGGCGCACGGACTGGGGACCTCGGCCGGCGGCCCCTGCTCCTGCCTCGCCTGTCACAGCGGCCCCGCCAACGGGCTGGCGCCCCGGGCCGCTGCCGCCTCGGACTTCACTTGTGCCTCCACCTCGCGCTCGGACTCTTTCCTCACTTTTGCTCCCTCCGTGCTCAGCAAGGCCTCCTCCGTGGCGTTGGACCAGAGGGAGGAGGTCCCCCTCACCAGATAAAGAGCCGCCCGCGGGCTGCCAGCTCCAGGATGCCCATGGGGGTCCCCTCGGGGACTCAGCTAGGCCCCAGCTGCCCCCAGTATACCGAGGGCAGAGGAGAAGGCCTCAGAGGACCAGCGGGACTCAGCCTGGAGGAGTGGGAGGTCCTGGAAGCGGCAGTGCTGGCATTTGGGGAGCAGGAGTGGGGATGGGAAAGCTGAGGTTGAGAGAGCTCCCTTTGGGGCTCTTTTCACCGTTCTTCACCAGACCCACCAACCATGGCTGGGGCTGAGAACGTGACCCCACACACAGCTAAACAAAACTTAGCAGCAAACAGCAACTTGCATCCAGCCCCTTTGCCTCCCATTCCCCCACCTCACATGCCTCACCTGGGCCCCCTTTCTCCTGCCAAGGCCAAACACTGGAAAGGGAAATTGCTGTGTCTCTGAACAAAATGCTGTGTATGCAGAGCAGGTAGAGATTAATCTTCACCAGCTTTTCCAAGACATGCAAGCAAAGGGCTTGTGGATGGCAGGGTACCAGCCCATTTAGGGGAGAGGGCAAGATGATTTACTGCCAGAGAGACTCTTGCCTCTTGGCAAGGAATCTGGGGGCTCTCTCACCTTCCTGAAACCTCAGTTACACAGCATCTTCTGGTTCTGACATCTACCAGCACCTGATCTTTCTCCTCACCCCAGCTTTGTGACAACTCTGCAACTTGCTCTTCTAGCCCTCCTCCCTCTACTTTTTGTTTGACATTGGCAGGGAAGCTGCAGCCGCCCCAGGGTCCCTCGGCAGAGGCCAAGCCTCTTCTCCCAGGACCCAGCACACACCCTGATTAGCAAGTGATGTGTTCGAGGAGGCTTTCTGAATGCTGAATGTGTGTATAATAATGATCACCACTTGGCTAGCCATCAAACCCAGAGCTGAGCCGTTAACAAGGCGCCCAGGGAAGAGCTTAGGAGCCTGGAATTCACCTTCTTCCCCCAGTATCTGGTGGCAGACTGGAAGCTGTTGTCATCGTTTGCCTGGTCGCCATCACATCGCCAGGAGCTTTCTGCCCCTTCCCTTTGCACTGGCATTTACATCCTTCTCTCAATTTCCTCTGAAGTTGCCACAGAGCCCTGGGGCTGGGGGAAGCCTGTCTCTCTCTCTCACTGGGGTTTGTTTGGGGTCCATTCCCAAACTGACACGCCCATACTCTTTCTTGCAGCCAGTTTTTGAGGAAAAGGAGAACTTTTACCCCCAGTGCAAGCTTCACCCCACTGGGAGGGCGCGATTCTTCCTGTTGGGAATGAATTTGGTTTGGTTTGGAGTTTTCCTTTGAAGCCCAAAGAATTTGCTGTTATGATTTGTTAACCATATTGCAATAAAAGCTGGACATGATTCTCACTTTAGCATTTAAATTTATTTGTTTCAGCAGACAACACATTGACTCTTAGTTTAATTGACGGAGTAGGGAAGTCTCCTAAGCCCCTATTGGACTGGCAGGCTCAGTCAGACATTATAGGGAGGGGACGGGAGGCTTCTCTCTGCCCTGGGTTGCATGCTTCCTTAATTCAGGCAATGTTTGGGCTCTTCCACGGGGAAACTGGACTCCAAAATACTGGGCTCCACCCTGTGCTCTGATAGATGAGTTCCTGTCTAGTTGCTCTAATCTTTTGAGGAAGAGACTTGGCTTCATCTTCCTGAGACCTGCCTCTGCCTCAGCTCGGGATAGTGCAAGTGGGGCAGTGGACTAGAGCACTGCAGAGTTAGGTTTGCTAGTCTAGCTAGGTGTGCAGGTGGGAGTAGGGGCTGAGGCTACACCAGGGTGGATCCTCTTGGTCTGAGTGACCCTCAGACTAAGTTATTGGAGAAGATGGAACTCTGGGGCAGCTAAGGGGAAGGGTACGGGCAATGCTCAGCAGCAGCCCCCACCCAGCCCCGAGGCAAGCTGGCTGCTTCCGGAGACCGGCTCCAACAGAGATAAAGGGTGTCTTCGGGAAGCTTAGGAGGTTTTGGATTGCGCGCACGCCCAAGCTTCTGTCCGCGTCTCCCGCAGGCAGGTGGGGGACTCAACTATCCTTGTCACTCCTGGGGCTCCAAGGGCGGTCCCCACCTGCGCACAGTGGTCCCTACCCTCCTAAGCTAATGGAGCACGCAAGTTTCGGCAACCCTACCCCCAGCTTCACTCCCAGACTCGCGCAGCTCCTGCAGCCGGAAGCTCTAAAGTGCCAGGTCCCGGCAAGTTTCGGGGCTGCTCCGCACCGGGCAGAGATTGCTTGCGACAGGTAAATGGGCTGCGGGCTGCCTTAATGCCAGGCGTATTTTCAGTTAATAGGGAGGGAAAATGAGGTGTCTGCAGCGATATTGGAAAGTACAAGATCGATGATCCGGCCTCGTGTCCAATCAGCAGCCTTTAATTGACTGTATTTTCTGGGTAATTGAGCCTCTCTTCCTCCAAATTGAAGTGGAAGATATAACAATACATCTTGCCAGGAGGAATTACTCATTACTTCATAATGAAATTTCCCTTTTGCCAAGGTTTGCGGTTTGGCGGTAGGCACCATTTCTCACACTCGGTCTCCCCTCCCTCCCACCTGCACCAGACCAGCCCATCTGGCCGAACACGCCCCAGTTTGATAGTGAGGTGGGAGAGGACCGTGAAGAAGCCCTCCCCCATCTACAGCCTAACATCTCTATCGATAGAATGAGACAAATAGACTGGCCAGCCGGCCTGACATGGTACCGTTTTTGTTTTTTCAAGGTTAAGAGCGTCTCCTAGCAGTGCCTCCTCTCGGTCCCATTGCCCAATGTGCAGATGGGCAAACGGAGGATCCGGGTTTCAAACAGCAGCTTCCTCCTCCTTCGCCTCGCTGTTAGACTGTGAAGCCCCTCCCCACGAAGTCTGACACTTCTCTCCCGAATCACATCCTCCCATAGCTGGGCCTTGGGGCCCGGGAACGTGGCCCTATGCCCAGGGTAGTTCGCCTAGCTGGTGAGGCTAGCCGCCCGCAGCCAAGTGTGCGCCGGGCCAGGCCGTCGCCGGCTTGTTAGAGTGTGATTGATTGCCTTATTAAAGCGTGTTCTTGTAAGTGTGACCAAACTGATTGCATTGCATATGTTTGGGATAATGCTCATTTTAAACAACAGGATAAAGCGGATGAACTCTACAGAGCCTCCAAGATGAAATGATTCTGGCCAGAAGCTCCCTAACTCTGGCATTAAATTGCTCAGTTATGTAGCAAATCACTTGGCTCTTCCATCCTTATCCCCATTTTTTTTTCCTGGCCTGCTGTTTGGTGGTTTCTCTAGTGACTAGATCAGCTCCACCTTTAGGTGCCACTCGCCTGGAATTCCCCCAGCACCGAGTCCTCCTCTCCACGACAAACTGAGGGAGCAGAGATTCAGAATGCACCCTCTCTCCTTCTTAGAGCAATATGGCTGTAGACTGTCAACCCAAACAGGACCTCGGGTCCCCACAGTAAGTCTCTCATACCGCCTCCCTTCGTTTAAGTTTAAAATGTTCTTTTGTTCCGTAGGCTTCTCCCGCTCGGTTGCCTCCATTATTCCCCAAAGAAGGAAACACCCGCCACCATATGTCAGCTGGACAGCATGGGTGTCACGATGGTCAGTTGCTGAAGATGTCCAGACAGATGACTTTCTCCAAGTGGGAGAGCTTTACCTACTTTGTATCCTCTCCGTGGATCATCACTCCAGAACAGTAGAGGGAATGGGGCTAAAGCAAAAATTGGAATTTCTTCTAATTATGACCCCATTCCCACAGCTCTAACCATTCGTTGTGGCAGGTTTTCTTTCTGTGAAACTTCCTAATAAAAAAAAAAAATCCTTAGCTTGGCCCTACCCACTCTTGCCTAGTTGCAGGAGAGCCAAACTACTGTAAGACTGAACTTTCTAAGGGACACCTTTGAGATATGCTGGAATTCTGATTTGTTCAAGATGATGGCAGTCATTAGGACAAATCAGAAGTGATGCTACTCTTCAGGGTGTCATTTGTAAGTGCAATAGCACAGATTCGTTTGTGAGACTCAGCTGAAAGAGATCTGGATAAGTGACTAGATGCATGGCAAATCTCTTCCATCACTCAGCTCCTCCGCAGCTCTCCCCGGGGCAGGCATATCAGACTTGCAACGGCGCAAAACTAAGGTCCAGCTCACCATTTGTGCCAGCTTCTGAGACCTGGAAAGGTTGACCCTAATGGGGGGAAAGAAAACCAACTGTCTAATGCATCCTACTATCTACAAAGCAAACAAATACAAAGTCCTTTCCAAAACTGCCTTCTCAGCAAATAAGTATGTGATATTCTGAACAGGAAAGAGAAAGATTGCCACTTAAAAATAACATGAAAGCATTAAGTAATTATTTAAAACAAGGCTGTTTAGAAAAATATTTGTATTTATTGCAGCTGCTCAATTGGCCTTGTTAAAGTCAGCAAGCATTTAAATTGTGTTACAATCTCATTTAAATCCTGCTCCGTTCCAGCAGGCTGAAGAGCTTGAATAGACCAATCACTTCATAATGATGATGAATGAGAAATTAATTCAGATACAAGCAAGACAATTTAGGCCTTCATCTGTTTAAATAGCCTTCCAATATTATTCGCGATCGCGGGTCACAGATTGAATCAATTGTCCAATCTTGTGAAAGTCATATCCTTGCATCTTCATCGAGATTATTTATAGCGCAGTGAGGGCTGCTGAAAGGTATACGCTGTTAACAGGGACAATTACTTAAAGGGAAGCGTTTATAAAATGGAAAACAAATGCCAGGATTGGTAACAAATGAGATCAAAAGCAGTCATTCGAATCTGGCTACTGGAGGGAAGGGAGTGAAAGGGGCCCCGCAGAAAGAGGGGTGCTGTGCTAGAGTCCACTTCTGACCTCTCCAGGGCCCAGGTGAGCTGGAGCCTCTCGGGCGCTTGCGTGGTGGCCGCCCTGGGTCACAGGGACCTTCTGGCCTCGGTCTGTTTCAAGCTGTCGCCGCCCTGGCGAGAGCAGCAGCTAACAAAGCTCGGTATGGGCATACTAAGCAGCAGCACCCCATGGACTCCGACTCTGAGGTGGTCCAGTTTGTGGGTGGCGCAGTGCCTGCCTGGGTCTGACATCACTGTCGGGGCGGCAGGACGCTGGAGCCTCGGATTACTGAGGGCAGTGGTTGCTAGTGCTCCTGGCGTCCGGAGGCGCTACCTCCTTTACACTTGGCCTCCTAAACTGACGTGAGAGAGGGGCCCCAATTCCACAGGCTCCTCTCCATGCTGTCCAGGGCCGCCGAGCGCGTCTGCATTTGTTCTGGTCTTTGCGGGTTTGGGCCCCTTCGGGTGGGCACCCCGAGCTCTGCTCTCAAGCCTGGAACAGTGTCCTATCCTCCCAAAGTAGCGGTCTTTGCTCCCCCCCCCCCCCAGCCCCTTCCAGTATCTTGAAATAGCTCGGGTGAGGCCAGAGCCCTGGGGTGCCCTCCTCGGGCACCCAGGAGCCGCGCGGGGACCATAGTAGTTGAGGGGACTGTCACTACTTCCAGGCGACAGGTGCCTCCCTGAGGTGTCTACTTCTCCTCTCAGCCTGTTTAGAGAAAGATCAGAACACAGGGAGGTGAGCGCAGGTTTTTGTTTCTCCCCAATGACTCCTGGCGCGCTCTGCTCCCCCAGTGTGCCTCGTCTACACGGGCTCGGTGCGCGCGTCGCAGGCAGAGAGCCATCTAGGCGGCGCTCTTTGGGGGAAATTAAGTGAGGTGGGGTCAGAACAGGGAAGCAGGGAAGATCATTTGATGTACTGAGCCTGGAAGAAATGAGGAGAGCAAGTGTCTCCCAGAGAACACCCGGGTAGAGAAGCAGTCCAGGCGGTACAGCGCGCACGATACCCCTGTCCAAAAACATCGAGGTGTTTTGTTTCTTTTTTTCCCCTCCTCTCTCCTCTATATTTCTGTATTTGAAACAAAAGCCCAACTAACGGATTGCTGGCGCATTGAGGATCCACTCCGGGGAGCGACTTTGATGTATTGCTGTCCAATTAGTGCCTTTAATTGGTGTCCTCAGGGACAGGCAGGCCCGGAGCTGGGACACAGCCTCCTCTCGCTGCTCCTACACACTGGAAAGGTAAAATTTATAACGCACTGTAGCAACCCCTTGGGAGAGCCAAAGAGCGAGGGAGGTAGGGCGGGCAGGGAGCGCGCAGCTCGGTCCTGCGGAGGACGCGCCCTCCAACCTCAGGGGTCGCGGAGAAGGGCTCAGCCCGCTCAGGATTCTGCCCAGTTTTCTGCGCAGGAGGGTCGGGGCTACTGAGTCGCTGAGGATTATGAATTTGCTTGCAAAAAAGCCAAGGGAGCTCGCATTGTCTGCAGAAACCCACCCCATGTGGTCTCCCATCTCGTTAATAATGGCTGTTTGTTAACAA